GCCCGCCCGCCCGCCGCGGGGAGGCCCCGGCGGCTCCGCGCTGCCTTGGGGGGGGCGGGATCCCCACCCAGGGGTGCTGGGAGACCGGGTGTGTGGGGGGGTCCCCCGTAGCACCGTGGAGGGGGCGGCTGGAGCTGCGCACCCCCCTCCCGGGGGTGTTGCGTATGTTGGAAAGGGGGGGCTCTKCCTCCTACCCCCCCTCCACGCTGCTGGGAGTACTGGGAGAGGGGTCCTGGCCGCACTGGGAGTGCGGGAGGGTGCAGGGTGTAACGGGAACGGTAACTGGTTGCACTGGGGGGGTGCTCTGCTTCCCCTCCCCCCGTTACCCCTCCCATACTGGGAAGGGGGCTGCTCGTTGCCCTGGGTGGGGGCCCTGAGCCCCCCCCTCCCCCAGGGCCCTGGATACGCTGGGAAGAGGGTCCTGGGAAGGGGGTGCCCGCGCCCCCCCCCCGGGGTACGGGCTGTACCGGGCAGGCGGCTCCGGCCGCGCCGCCATCGGGGGCTCGGCCCCCGCCCGGGCCCCGACGAGGAGGAGGAGGAGGAGGCGGCCGGGGCGGGAGGAAGGCGCCGGGCCCCGCGGAGCGGCCGCCGTCCCTGCGGCACGCACGGAGCTCCCTCCTCTTCCTCTTCCTCCCCGCCGCCGTGCGGGAGGAAGGCTTCGTCAGCGCGGCGCGTCCCGCGGCGCCCTGCTGAATCACAGCCCCCTCACGGCGCGTCCCCCCGCTCTCCTCCTTTTCCAGGTGTGAAGGCCGGCCCGGGTGCCCCCCGCAACACCCCGCGGAGCCCAGGGGAACAGGCAGCTCTCGAACGTCCTCCCGTGCCTTGCCGAGAGCCCGTCGCGTACGTAGGGGTAGCGGGGTGCGCAGAGGGGCGCCCCGGCTGTGATTTCTGCCCCTTTCCACCCCCTTTGCTCCGTGCCACTTGGTGCTGCCGTCAGGGAATTCCACGCCGAGCCGCCGGAGCACCGCGCCAAGCAAGGAGCGCAGAAACCAAACCCGCGCCTAGGCACAACGCTGCGTCCAAAACCAACCAGAGAAGCGCTTATTGCAAAGGAGAGATTTTTCTTTTAAGCTACCATTATTTTTTAAATCGAGCGGCGAGACGCAGCRGGGTGAAAACACCCGCGTCTCGGCGCGGGCGCGAGGATTTCCCGGTGATTTCCCGCCGCGCGGAGGCCCGYGCCGCCGCTGCGCCCCGCGCCCGGCCGCCACCTCACCATGATGTTTCGAGACCAGGTCGGCGTGCTGGCCGGCTGGTTCAAGGGCTGGAACGAGTGCGAGCAGACGGTGGCTCTGCTCTCGCTGCTGAAGCGCGTGAGCCGGACCCAGGCGCGTTTCCTGCAGCTCTGCCTCGAGCATTCCCTGGCAGACTGCACCGAGCTGCACATCCTCGAAGGGGAGGCCAACAACCCCGGTGAGTCCTCTWTATTCATTCGTTTATATATTTTTTTATTCGTTCATTTATATATTTCAATTTTGGTGCATTTTGAATGCTGCGTTGTTCTCTCATTGACGCCCTAATGATGGCTAAAAAAATAAAAATAAAAAGCCGTCGGGTAAAGGGAGGGTGGTTGTGGAGCCGGGGCTCCCAGCGGCTGGATTGCGTTAACGTCTTCCCTCTCCACATTTTATTTTTTCAAACTGGCCATGCCTTATTTCGGCTTGATTCGCTTTTCACAGCAGACTACTTCAGTCTCTTGCGTGGTGCAACTACGGTAGCATGAATGATCGCTTCTTTTTTTCTTTTTTCTCCTCCTTTTTGCCTCCCTCCCTCCCTCCTTTCCTCCTTCCATGCGGTTTCCTGTGAAATAAGTTAGTCAGGTCACGTAGAGTCTGGATTTTCTAGGCTTCTTTTGGGCAACGTGGCTTGCTTTGCTTTCTGCAACATGCAGAAGCAGCCCATCAATACTTTATATGAACTGTTATTTTCTGAGGGGCTGTCCAGCTGGGTTATCTTCTTCCTTTTTTTAAACCCCCCCCCCCCCGATACCCTCCTTTTTTTTTTTAATGTGGCAATTTCTGTTTCATCATTCAGATCCTGTTTGGACGCATTTTTCCTGCAGCTCTGAATACCCCCTTGTGTTTCAGTGGGGCTCTGAGAAAATATTAGTCGACTGTGTAATGGTGCTGCACACACGATGTGTTACTTTGGGAGCCCTGTGTGTTTTTTTCCCCTTGTGTATTTTGATCCTGCTCACGAACCATTACGAGTCGCCCAACTTCACAGAAGTAAATGGAGTTAGAACAGTTTAAAAAAATTATATAAGTGATGTGAGGATTGCGCTGTGTGTTAATGCATTCGGGTTGGTACTAGCACGGATGTACAAATATCTGAATGTTTGTATGTATGTGTGAGTTTATGTTTAAGTATATGCTTGTATAGGTGGAGATGTGAGTTGTTTTGGGTGCAATTCCTGAAATAGAGACCCCTCCTTTAGGAGGGAAGGTTGAACCTGCCCTTCGGCTGCGTTGCGCTGCTTTTCCAAGCCCCTGCTCTGCAGCATCCCTCTGGTTTCGGATCCAACGCTCCTGCTTGGYGGCGTGGGCGAGGGGAGCGCCCCGCGAGGCGGAATCCGGCCGGAATCCTGCCGGCCTCGCCGCCGGAGCCTGAACAGAGCCCCCAGTGTTTACGGCGAGCGAAGAATGCAGGGTCCTTCTCCAGCTGTTCCCTATTAGAGCCCCGAGCCTGCAGGATTTGGCAGCTGTCTGCGCTGCCATTTGATGACAGCGCCCAGCGCGCCGCTGCGAGGCCGGCCGTGGATTTGGGCAGGCCTGGAGGAGCCCAGCCCAGCGCAGAGGGAGCCCCGAGGGCCGCGGGCAGAGCGCTGGAATGGGCCGTGTCCTTATATAGCGCGCGGGAAGGAGAGGCAGGAATGCTGCGGCGGGGGGCTCGGCGCGATGCTGCGTGGCTGCAAACAGCTGGGGCCGCCTCCGTGTGGCCGGGGAGCCTGGCGGGAGCGCGGCGAGGCAGCGTCGGCCTCCCGCTGATCCGCAGCGGGAGCGCGCGGCCTCCGCGCCTCCCCGYGTGGCCTCCCCTTGCGGCCTCCGGGCCTCCCGTCACAGGGCAGGCGGCTTCTGTCGGCATCGATCTGCAGCTTGGAGCGTGTTTTTGGTGACCTCTGTGTCACCAATTCCCGGGTAATCCTAGGCCACCACTGATTTAACCCGCAGACCACTGGAAAGGCGGTGCACCCATCCTCGTTGTGGAGGAAAACTTCCCTTCGCAGTCTCACTGGGCGTGAAGCTGCCCTGCCTGAGCACCCATGGGTGCCCACGTCGCCTTGTGGACCTTGCCCAGCGCGGGGATCCCTCCCGTGCGGAAAACCTGGCTTGTAGCCTCCTGCTTAGCGCCTCCCTTCAGCCGACTGCGCTTTCTCTGGTACTCGTCCCAAGATCGAGCTGTTTCTTTAGGGTGTTTGTAACACCGACAGCAAAACCTGAGATTTTTGGTAAGGATTTTCTTAGCGCCAGACACCCCTCCGTGTGGCTTTGCATGTGTGTGTGAGATGGGCACCGTGCAGGACGTGCGCCTGCCGAGCAGGCAGTCCTGGGGTGGCCGTGCAGGGGATGGCGGCTCCGCTTTGCAAGCCAGAACGCCGAGGAAGGAGCTCTCAGTGGCTGCCATCACCACTGCCTTGCTCGTAAAGCCACCTGCGTTTTTAAATAGCTCATACTCGCTGGGTGCTTCATGGTCTGGCGTTCGTCACTTGACTAGAAATGGAATCACACCAAGTTCTTTTCAGAAGCGATGTCGTCATCGTCTAACCTCATATTGCTCTATTTGAATCCCCCAGTTTGCATAACTGATTTGGGCTTGGTTTCCTCCCAGCCTGGAGGCTGAGGGGCCTTCAGCCGGGTCTCTAYGAGCTCCGAGCTGTGTCCCAGTAAGTTACTGGAGCCTTTCCTGGTGTTTTCCAGCGTGGAGGGCACAGCTGCCTGCTTGTGGGTGCCCTCCTGTTGTCCTCTTTGACGCTGGGGACGTAGTTGCGGTGTTGTGTGAGGGACGGTGGGGTGCAGGGGTGGCAGAAGTGACTGTGTTGGAGACACGTTGAGCCCAGCAAGGGGTTGTCACCGTGACTTGAGCRTTGCTGCTCTGAATGCTGGTGCAGCGAGCTGCAGGGAGTGTCTGAATCGGCTGGAAAGGCGGATTCTCGGAAAAGTGAGTTATTTGGCATGTGCGGGAGCCGTCCCATGCTCCAGCGCTGCTGCGGGAGAGGTGGAGGAGGGAAACTTGAAAGTTGCTGCTAGTTTCACAGCTAGTAGGAGAGCATGGCCTTGCTGCATTGGCTTGCASTGGATGGGCCTCTTCCTTGGGAATATTGTTGGCAAGGACCGAGGTCAGGAGGGAGCCCAAGGAGATGGCACAGTGCAGGAGTTCCTGCGTGGAGCTGGTCTTGTGAGGCCTGAGGTACTCGGGAAAATTCCCCTTAAACCAAGGTATCCAGGTTGTTTTTTGCCCTAGAGACCACAAATGAAAAACCTGCAGTGTTGGAAGTGACATGAGAAAAGTCAAGGAAGCAAAATGCTTATTTTTAATGAGTTAATTTAAACAGAAAAACAAATACACCTATTTTGAAAGCTCCGTCTTCAATTCCATGGGCATTTTTAATAACAACAGCCAAGCTCTCCTCATTAGGACGGCAAACCTGAGGTGTGACTGCTGAGCACGACCACGTCGCAGCCCTTGGGAAGGCCAAGGAAGGTTCCTGTTTTGTGGCTCTGTGAGGGTGCCCGAGCCCTGGCCCAGGCTGCCCAGGGAGGCTGCGGAGGCTCCTGCTCTGCAGATCTTCCCAAGGCGCCTGGATGCGCCCGGGTGCCCCGTGCTCCGGGTGTCCCTGCTGGAGCAGGGGCTGCGCTGGGRKATCCCTGGGGGTCCCTTCCAACCTCGGCCATGTGGGTCTGTGGATAACCAGTGTAAGGGAGGAGGAACGTGGCTGTGCCGCTGTCCTCGGATGCGACACATGCGGCAGGACACTCTGGTGGCATCTCCGAGCGCGCCGGAGATGCTGTAGCGAAAAGGGATGGAGGCTCCCTGCATGGTGGTGAAACCACCTGGAATCACTTGTCACTTGGTCATGAAGGCAGAAGAGAAGCAAGACAGAAGCACAAGGAAATCCATAGGGTTGTGCAACCTGTGGCTATGCTGCACCATTGCAATTAGGATCCTTATGGAGATTTAATCCATTAACCTCCTTGGCTTTAAGGGATGAACAATCTTGGTTGCTGCTAACTCAGTTTGAGCGAGAATGGCTTGACCTGCTGTATGTGAATAATAATAATAATATGGAAAGCATATTACCAGCACACCCAAGTAGATGGCTCAGGTATTATATAGCACTATTTTAAAAGTCTGCTATAACTTCCTTCCTTCCTTCCAACTTGGCCTTGCCTTGTGGCTCCATGGGCAGCCTGAGTCCCAGCTGCTTGGAGCTGTCAGGACTCCGTAACCTCCTGCAAGTTGCAAATAAAGGTCAGAYGGAGACGTAGTTCACCCCCCGGGGTACGAGCAGGACCGGGGCTGCACCTCCTCTTGCAGAGCAGGATTGGCCCAGGACTGTGGCAACGAGGGGACCRAGGGTGGCTGCTTTCAGTTCTCTTGATAGCTGGACGTGTCTCAGCCAGAGGCCATGCAGAGCACGGTTCCTGTCCAGGATTTGCATCAGAGATACTTCAGTCTCCCTGGGTTTTGCAGGATGCAAATGGGATGAGGACGTGGGAGCTGTTGGAGTCATGAAACACAACCTGGGTGCTTTTGGCAGTGAGCGTGTAGCAGGCGACTGTTCCTGCTGCTCAGGCATCTCCTCGCTCGTGACCCGGAGGTCTGGTGGGTTTTTCAGAGTAGTCCTGTGCTTGATACTTTCCTCACCTAGCTCTGTGCTCCTGTTGTCTCCAGAGTCTGTTGGAGGTGCCTGAAGGCTCCCGTGAGTCCTCCAGACACCCCAATTTGATTGACTGTGTGTCACAGCTTTGCATTCTTGGTCTAAAGAACAAGAAGCCTCTCTTATCCTGTGCACCAACCTTAACTACTAAGTTAAGGGCAAAATCTTCCCTTCATTGTTCCAAATTTCCTTAAATTTCATTTAAGATGACCCTCAAGTGTTGCAGCGAGTGCATCAGACTAGCCTAGATCTCCCCTTCTATGGGGAACTGGCTGGATGAAGAGTTGCGGGGAGCAGGAATGTCTTCCATTAGACCATGAGGCGCAGCTGGAAAAAATGGACACKGATTAAGGTGCACCAGCTCAAAGGAGGGCTTGTGTCGTGTATTTATTTTCCCCAGCCAGTCTAATAAAAGGCATTACATGTCCTGGCAGGTTGCCCTTTGCCTCTGCTGCAGCGCCAGCCCTGCACTGACCGCTCAACGGAGCAAGTTGCTGCCTCTGCTCTTGCTGTTCTTGCCCAACAGTCTCAATCA